CAAGTTCAAGGCAAAGAAGATATAGATTTGAAGAGCAGGAGGGGAAAGAAAACATACGGCTTTAATGTCAGAGCTTTGGAAATTGAGATACTTATCTAAGTCTGTTTTCTCCTTTCCTTGATAATGTTACTTTGAATTTGGACAAAGAACCCAGCCTGGCCAACCTCACTTTTGTTTCTTCTCAGTTGCACTTTCCAATAATTATATTGTCATAGACGTGCCCTCAGATATGCATCTCACTGAGGACAGTTTCACATGCAGAAGACATTTCCCGAGCCAGGAGATGACGATGAGAGAGACCTTTATCACTACTGTCACTAAAGACCATTGTCATCAGAGACCTGACAAACCTCGTCACGCTGATGATGGTGCCCCAGACACCATCACAAATTTGCTTTGCAGCATTACAGCCACCGTAACCACAAAGCTCACTATTCAGTTCAAATGCAATATTGGTGCGTGGTGCCTTGGAAAACAGCAGGCTTTTAATATTGCTTTTAATACAGTTGTGATTCAAAGAGGTGCTCCCCAGAATTATTGTTTTCTCTTCTCCCCTTGATTAAAATGTAACATACGAGCTCACACATCAAATTATGTCCCAGAGACCTGACACCTTCCACTTTTATATGTGTGCAAAATCCTTTTGAAATGAACCTGTTCTCCTAAAACTGCAATAATTCAGTAATAAAGCTAGCTCTAAATAAAAGGAGAGAAAGACTGTTAGCAGATGCTCCATGTCAGAAAAGAAAGAGATGAGGGAAACAGAAAACAAACCAGGGGGATCTCCTGAATAACTCCACGCTCAACTAAATTGCATCAGTACAAATGCAAGCACTGTGTGGGCCCCCAAATTAGGAACTATTCACAAAACAAAAAGCTTGCCTCGACTGTATTGTGCCTGTTCTACCCACACTGAATAGCCTGTCTAATGATGATCTCTTCTTTATTTGGGTCAGGTCTTGCCGAGGAAGAATTTTTTGAGAGGCCAACGCTAAGCATTGCAAAGGACCACATTGTCATCTTACCAGGAGAAACCCTAAAAATAAAATGCAGGTAAGGATTGCTCCAACGATGCTGGATTTGTTGGTTCTATCAATTCCCTGTACCAAGGACAGTTTCTGGCTGCTCTTTGCCCTCACGTGCATGTTGGGGTAGAGGAGAATTTGCTGGGCTGGGAGGAAAGTCTCCGGTCAGCATTCAGCTTGGCCAGATTCTTTCTATTGTAAAATAGCAAAACCCTGAGTCAGCGCACGGGAAAGCTTATGGGAGGGGGATGTATCATGCTTAAGGACAAGGCTGGAAAATCCTCATCTGAAAACAGGTTTGGATTCAGCTCCTCTGCAGCTAAAATCACTCTTTTGCTCCCTGTCCGTAAGTACATGACAAACAAGACCATCAGGGCATGTCATTAGCTCTTTACACACATATATATGAGCTTAAACTCCCTAACCTCAAATACCATCTAGCCTATAAGATGACAGTTCAATAAACAGCTGTTAGTATGCGTATATGCCAAGACCTGACCCGTTCAAACATACCATATTCTTTAAATCCAAGATAACCAGGACTTGTGAAAAAAAACAGACTGCTGATACTGTAAATTACGGCAGCTCTTCAGTTCTTGGCACGACGTGTAAAAACCAGCCATGCCAGAAACCAGCAGCATGTTGGTAATGACGTGTGTTTGGAGGGAGATGATGCCCTGGAAATGGGGGCTGTAGCGTTTGGTCCCAGCTGACTGGCACAGAATTCCATGTAACACAAGGAGACAAAGTGCTTTCTGGCGTGTCAGCCAGCCAGGAGCTTGCTCGGGCACACAAAAGGCCTCAGACTGAGATGTACGTAGGTGTCGCTTGTTTGGAGTGTGATTTATACATCAAGCTACTGTGAGAGGGGTTTTTTTTTATTTCTTCCGAGAGCATTGAAGGAGAGAAGTCTTAAGGTAACACAGAACATCACAGTTTCTCTCTCTCTCACACACATACATTATTTTTCCACCTTCTTGCAAAGTCCCCTTGACTGTAGCCACTACGTGGATGGTTTCTTTCAACAGAAGTTACTGGAAACAGAAAGAAAAAGCAGTGGGAAGGTGAATCTAAGCTGTAGTTTATGCTGACACATATGTCCCTTCTCATTTTTGTCCTAGTCCATTTAATGCACTGTTCTAGTGAAAGATGAACTGACTCATACTGTGTAAATTTGTGATGTCTCCTGGAGTGTAAGGCAGGTTTTCTCCAAACACCTCCAGCTCGCCGTGAGGCTTAGGAGGTCAAAACAACCTTATGGTGGTATTTTTAGCTCGGCAAGCAGAAAGCATGATGGCAATAAAGTTTAAATAGTCCTTTAAAATCTAGATGTAAGGTGGACATGAGTTTGGCACAGGGCTCCAGGCCAACTAAATCAATACTTTTCAGCAATTCTCCATCTGCTGCTTTTTCAATCTGTGGGAATACCCTATTTCCTCATCTCACCAGATGAATGAAGAGATGAAGAAATTCTTAGCACTTCAGTCCCAAATTGCATTATGGATGCAAAGCAATAAATCCACAGGACAGCTCTGAGAAACAGAAACATACAGCAGCGTGCATGGGACCAGAGCTCCGGAGCACTTCAGCTCCCTGACTCACGCAGAAGCTGGGAATAGAAGGTGGAAGTGGGATTTGTGCACATCAAGTGTGAGATTCCCTGTCTCGGGTCCTTTGCGGATGTCTCTCATCCTGCCTCCTCTGACACTCACAGATTAGCTCCAAACCGGCCCAAAGGCAGCTCTGGAGTCCTTCGTGGTTCCCGGGGGCATCAGGGCTGTGTGGGGCACAGCAGGAGACAGCAGACAGAGCAGGAAGCTGCCCAACTGCGGTAACTTCGTGTGAACATCCCTTCTTCCTTAAAGTTCATTCATTTGAGGTTCTTGGCCAGGATTTCCTAATTTTTGGCAGCCTGGTCAAAGCTATTGCCGTGACTCCCCTCTGCCAGATGTGTGAAAATCCCAAAGCAGAAGCCGAAGTCTTCATCTTCCACCAGGAATGCGGAGGAGGAAAAAGTGGGAAGCATAGGCATCCAAAATCCATGACCTGCTCTGCAGAACCACGGTTGCAGTTTTCCAGCCCTGGTGGACACCAAACTGGATGACAGTAGAGGAGCAGGAACATGACGACATGTTGGGAGTTGAGTGACTGAATGTGAAGTGGCATCATTCCATATTTCACGGCCAGGAGTCCCATTTCTTGACCGAGGTGGTCATTACGTCAGTAATGACATTAGTAAGGTGGGGAAGGAGCACTGGGTAGGGATCTCTGCGTCACAAAATGATCCACTGCTTTGAAGGACGGGAAGCTGCTATGATGGATGAGGCGGGGCTGTCCAAGTCAACTGAGGGGTGAGGCTGCTCACCAGAGAGGATATTCACACTTCTCCCAGTGCTCCCCTTCAGCTATGTGCTGGGAATAACCTCAAGAGTTCATGCCCGTGTCCACATCATCTTCAGGAAGGCGACAAAAGGACGGGCAGAAACGGGGGCCAAGAGGATGTTTGTTTAAGTGTCACTGAATTTGCTGGCAAATGAGTTCCCTTATTGGACCTACTGACCTCAACAAAGCCACTGGCACAGAAAGAGTAGTTCCAGTTATTAGCTAACTGGAAACTTCACACAACTCGTTTGGTGTTACTAGCTAGATATGTTTGGTCTTAGATCTCTATACCGAGTCGGTGTGTCTAGACCGGATTTCTCCCCACCAACACTCCGTTGGGGAAATCCATAGGTTCTTACTCCTTCCTCAGCTCAGCAAATACCATTGAGTCAATGGGAATTCACTGAGTGAGAAGGGGTGAGTCAACCCGCTGTCCTTTGGAAGAGTGGCTTCTCTCTGCAAAGACAGACCAACAGAACTGCCTCCCTCTGATACTAACTTCTTTCCAGAAAAACCCACGACTACCCACATACCCCACCAGTTTCCATATTGACCACCAAAAACCAGTCTACTACAAAAACACCACAATCTTTACCTCCTAAGCATGTAGAGCATGTACTAGTACATCATGAGAGCCCTCAATGTGTAGCCCAAGCAAAAGATTTGATAGATATTAGATTAGATATCAGGAAGAAATTTTTCTTTGCTGTGTGGGTGGTGAGAGCCTGGCCCAGGTTGCCCAGAGAAGCTGTGGCTGCCCCATCCCTGGAGGGGTTCAAGGCCAGGTTGGAGGGGGCTTGGAGCAACCTGGTCTGGTGGGAGGTGTCCCTGCCCAGGGCAGGGGGTGGGAACTGGATGGTCTTTAATGTCCCGTCCAACCCAAACCATTCTATCATTCTATGAATCTATGAAGAGAGCTCCAGGAGCTCCTGCTCCCATGGTGTGGCCTGATGTTTCCAGCACAATAGGACTAGCACAACCAGTGCCTGTTACCGAGCTAACCTAGAGCTCTCTCTGAGTCCTGCAACAGGTTATTTAAAGGCCTTACTTTTTGTTGGAGAAGCACATAGCATTGCATTTGACATTAGCTGTGATAAGAGATAAGACAACGAACGGGTCAGGTGGGTCATGGTGCATGGTCTGCCAGCTTTATGTTCTGCCTGCCGTGACAGGGTGAATTGAAAACAAAAAATGTGTCTTGAGCAGATACTCTAAGATTTGTAATCTGATTAGTTCCAGACCCTTCACAAAAATCAAGATTGAGTCACTGCTGATTAAGCAAGAAAGGTGATACAAAGTTACATAAATGTTCTCCTCCCTTCATGCAGCCCTAGTATAAGAAAATACAAGTTAATGTAGCTGTTAAAATATGCAAAGTTCTCAACTCGGAAGAAACATATAATTTTAACAGGTGCTTTCTAATCTTTGAAGTGGCTAAAATATAGTGTTATAAAAACAAACTCATACTCAGGAAGTGTGTTAAAATCAAAACTAAACTTTGTCTGAAGTCACGACTCTATCTTTAATTTTGGTGTGTTGCATCGACAGGGGAGCGACGTCTGTGAGCTGGCTTTTGAGGGAGAACCAGAAGGAAGACCCTCGGGTGCACATCAGTAACTGCCGCAATAACACGCGGCAGAGCTGCAGCCTGCTCGTCCTCAGGAAAGTCATAGCCAACGACACCGGTTACTTCACCTGCAGCCGTGACGACTCCCCATCTAATGAGGATCTCATGGCGAGGATTTATGTGTTTGTTAAAGGTAAGAATTTCACTTTATTTTGTTGTCACGACTTTTTACAGGATCTATGCTAGGTAGAACAAGCAACCCAGTTCAGATGCTTTCACAAGTCCCACCTCCCCACTGGCCCAGCACTGGAGCAAACACCAGCTTTGACAGTATGAGGAGGGAGGGTATATTTGGATTTTCATGCTGGCTGAATTCACAGGGACCCAGATGTGAGAACCAGAAATTATCCATCTTGTTCAATTTTGGGACTTCTGCCATCTAGTTATGTGTTTCAAATGACTGATACACTGATTGCTTTAAACGTCTTTTCTTTTTTTTCTTTTTCCTTTTAAGACTAAATTCTCTTATCCCAAAGGGTTTTGCTATCACAGTGCTTTTCCTAAGATTCATCCCGAATACCGGAGTCCTTTCTCTTTCCTTCCTCCCCAGGCATGAAACTCCCCGACAACATTCTTTGTAATTCTTTCTCCTACACATTTATATCCTGCTTTGTCCTTCACATCTGTGACACACGCTTAGCAAAGCGGGATGACTGCATTATACATATTTTACTGTAAAAAAACGGCACATTGCTCATTTTTGTCCTCATTGAGCTACCTCTCCCACATGTGTCAGAATCACTGAGTTCAGAGCCAATAATAAATGCAAGCAGAAACTTCAGAGGAGTGTGGTCCTCTGTGATTAACTGTATGAAACATCCTCAACAACCATTTCTATAATACGAATTTTTGTTAGAAGAATATTCCCCCAAAATGCTGATATTTTTTTCAAACCTAGTTGACAAATGCATTACTAAACCACTGAATCATCTTGGATATTCCAAGCTGAGATGGGGAATAGTCAGATAAAGGAGCTGACTTTTAGTGTCTTGAATAAGGGATGCCACGAACTGCTTTGGTGCTGAAGGGGCTCACTGTTCAGTTCCCCGCAAACTCAGGAAAATGAATTAATGTAATTTTTCTTGCAAATGCTAAAATATGATTCTTTGAATCCTTTTACTAAAACACATGCTAGAGAAGCAATGAGTTTGTCTGATATTATTTGAATAGTTCAGCAAAGGGACACAGAAAACCCACGTACTTGCTGGGCAGCTCTGATAGTCTCGTGGTGTCGCTACCGATGGTGAAACCATCACGGGGTGCAATGTCCATCCCAAGGGTACTGGGATACACCCACTCAGCTAAATTCAACTTCTGCACTACTAGGTGAACACACCTGGTTTGATTCACATGGATGACATTTTCCTGTCCCTTTATGTCTCTTGAAAATAGTCCCTCTTTACCCTTATCCTGCTTTCCCAGCAAGTCTTCCTCTTATCGGAAAGTAGCTTTTTGGTGTTACTTGTTAGTTCCTGCAGTCATTTTTTTTCCTCCCTTTCTATTTCCTTTTTCTGATTTTTTCTTGTTACTCTAAGCTCTGGTTGCTTTATCCACCCTAGTTCTTGTGCTGAGCTGTTTCCTTTTCTCATTACACACTGCTCAGATGCCCCACATCTCATATTGTTAACCCAGCCCAATGCCTACGCTTCAGGAAACAGCACATTGAAAACTCCATTCTCTGTCCTGATTCAGTGCCCTGGCTGCCTACCCAGGCCTTCGTTACTCTATGGCTGGAGCACGTGCAGGAAATCTTATGGATCTTTTGGGACCTCCTGAGTGTTTTCCCTAAGAAAAATATCTCAAGTTATGGAACGCTTACCGGCGATGCGCTTGGAACAGCACTAATCTAAAAAAAAATTGCAGGATGTCCTCTTGCTTGCCTGAGGCTGCTGTGCCAAGGCTCCCCTGAAAAACAGCTCTGGATGGGTGTTTTCTCTAAATCACCCTCCAAGATTGTCCTCTCTCAGAGGCAATTTAATTGTGTCAGACACCCTCCCTGCCCTAAAAGCTCTTCCCCAGACTCCTGTGCTTTAAAAGTCATTGAAGGAAAAGTGGGTAGAAAATGAACCACTTTGAACTACGCGCTCCACGGGTGAAGGAGAAAGAAAAGCAAGTCAGTGGGGACCCTGCTGGTCCATGTCCTGGTGGGCCACTTGCTCATCCACCCCAAAGCCCAGCTCTGCCACGCCACTTCGGTGGGATCCAGCCTCCCAGTCTGAGGAAGCTGCTTGGCCCCAGTGAAATGAAACTATTTATACCCCGGCGTGGATTCTGTCCTCAGGGCAGGCTCTTCCTCCCATTCAGTTCCTGTGTATATTTGTTGAGAGCCAGCAGGCTTGTCTGGGGACGAGAAAACTGTTCTTCAGTGAGGGCCCTATGAATTGTGGAGTTAAGCAAGGGATTCAGAACCTACCTATAATTTCTTCAACATTTAAACATGCCCAACAGCATCTGGGCATCACTGAGAAACCCATCAGTTGGCTCCAAGTGAAGAAACTCACAGTTCCTGGTGAGTGCCAGAGAAGGGTGAGGTCCAAAAGACATCTCTCTGGATGTTTTGTGGAGAAAGCAAGTGCTCAACAGGGTGTTTATGAGACTGAGCCAGGTGGAGTGAGAAAATATTGAGCCAGACCCTGAAGGCTGGAGATTCCTCTGAGGTTACAAGCCATTATTGCCAAAAAAGGAAGGGGAATGGTATTTTTTCCCTTCGTTCCTGGCCTGCTGCTTGACACTGAAATGAGAACATGATTGTATCGGAAGCCCTGCTTATTGGCTATTATTTCCTGTGCTTGCTTCTGTTTTTACAGCCTCCCTGGTGGAGTCTCTAAGCTCTGTCAGAATCTGGCATCCAGCAGCTCTCCCCCCCGGTGCAATTGAGCCGTGACCCCGGCACATCAGTCAGATCATGAGGGACCCGTAGGCGGCAGGGTCAGTGGCCATGCCTCAGCTGCACCCTGACAGTCTGGAGGGAGGGAGAACTCAGGATCTTAATCCTGAATAATTGTTCCCGAGGCCTTTTCTGCTTCCCGCTGCAGCTGCAAGTCCCAAGGATCGTAATTAAAAAGAGAGACAACCCCCTTCTCCTGTTGCCCGTCTCCTTGTTGAAAACACCACGTAGCTCAGGGCTGGAACAGAAATAGTTGGGTGTTTTTTAACTGCGTTGTTCAGCTTCATTGTGACTCGGGGGATAACCTCTGCCGTGAAACACAGTGTCTGGACGAACACAAGAAGAGCAGCCAAGCAACTCTCTGGTGGCTGCTGTCAGAGAAGAGGGTGAATGGGGGAAGCCCACCCTCAGCCCACAGGAGCTGCTGTCTCTGCTGAGCCAGCTCTGGACCAGACGCAGTAAAGACAAGTCTCCCCTGCAAAGCAGCTGTCCACGTAGGAGCCCACGGCAGAAAGTCTTATGTGGACAGCATTTCCACTGGAAATGCTGCCAAAGCCAGGTAGCCGATGTCATTTGCTTCTCTCTCCTGCAATTACCCTTCCCAACCCAATGGACACTTCCCCGTGAGGAACGCACTCATTTATTTCAACCTTTGAGATCCGTGTGCCCAAGGAAAGGGCAGGCTGTCTATTTTGTGTTAAAATATGGCGAGCCCTCTCTACAATGTTTCCTAGGGCACAGATAAAATCTAACATGGCTTAGAGAAAGCAGAAAAAAAGACAAATCAAGCAAAGATTCTCTCCATCTTCCCAAAGGGCTCTCTCAGACCCCAGCCTAGACAGAAGTCGGGACTTGCAGCTCTCAGCTATTTGAAATACTGTTACTGTCAGCAAAGCGGTTGTCTCAAAGTAAGACAGTCCTCAGGGCATCAGCTGGAAGAGCTCTCTGTACCAGCTGAAACGCTGCCTCAGCTTTTGCAGTGATTTCCCCGTGCAGCCCTTAGCTCTCTGTAGCAGTCAGGGATTTGCTACACCTTTTTGTACCTCTCAAGGCACCAGCAGGAAGGAGCATGAGCTCAATTCTGTTTTGCTTCCCTCCATCAGCAACTCGTCTGACATTATTACTGTGGGAACTGGGACTGGGCACAACTTGCCAAACAATGTCTAAGGAAAGTTCATCCAATTTTCCAAGCTGTGCTCTGATTCCTGTCCATGCACCCCGAGAGCACTGCTCTGGTGGAAGCAACCTCCCCTTCCAGGCACGGGGTGAGCAGGCAAGCAATGGACAGCATCTACTACTATTTATGCAAATCAGGGCTGTTATTCTATTTCTTGAAATAATTATGGCCATGATAGGGCTGGTTCTCATATAACCACTTCAGAAAAACATAAGTCCCACCTTCTCTGATACTGTAATTGGCACAAAATGATGCAAGTAAGTCCAATACCTCAGTGTTGGCTGCCACAAGGGTCCCAGTACACTGGGGCAGAATCACCAGTTCCTGTTTGTGCCAAGTGTGGTTCACTCTTTAAACATGTTGATTGGTGGACATTTCAACAGCGGCTTCCCACCCAGAGCAATTCAGCTGCTGGTGTTTCACCATCCCAGTGCTACTGGGAGTTAGGAACATGGCAGGACTGAAGGAGTAATTTGTTTCCACACATTTGTTTTTCAGCACTGTAACTAGTGTAACTCAGAAACTCAGTGTAACTAGAAGATGCCCCTGCAGAAAAGTTGAGTTCTGGCTCCTTTTAAGGTTCAGGTGGACACCACAAAGCTGGTAGCACTGCAGGCATGAGCCACAGTGCAGTGGTGTGCCAGGACCCCAGAGCACCAGAACTGGAAATCAAAGGTGAAGCAAGATAGACTTTTATATGGGAGCACAAGTCCTGTTAAAACAATTCTGAAGGAAAAAGGGGGATTCATCCAAGCAGCTTGTCCTGTCAGAACATGCATCTCGCTGCTTGTTGGCTCCAGCAGCAAGGAAAGGGATGAGCTCTCCCTTGCTATTGCAAATGAGGAGAGCTGGAACAAGAAATGCACCAGATTTGAGTCTACCATCAACCACAGCCTCTGCTTTATTAAATGGTATAGCCCAGGGACGAGAAGCCCCATCTCCTTCATCCTTTCCCCACTGAGAGAAATCTAAAGAGGATGGGAGTGCATGAAAGCACCCCTCACATGAGATCATATTTTGGTTCTGAAGTTCTTTGAAGCCGATTTCTGCCTCCTTAATTCTCTTGACAGTTCACAGAGATAATCTGAATGTGAGAAGCAGAAATGCAGGGCCAGGGTGACAGCCCTGACTTGGGCTTTGGCTTGCTTTCCAGAAGATATAACCAGTGAGAACAGAGCTGGAGCTGCATTTCTTCTTTCTTTCACGCTGGAGACAGCTCCACTTGCTGCCAGACACTCAGCGAGCTGAGATAGGCAAATGCTGTCCTGTCTGCTCAGCGTGGAGCCCAGCAGATAAGCTGGCTGTCTCACACCGACGGGTGGAAGGGTTTGGCACCATATCCCAGTTAACAGTGGAAGGGTTTGGCACCACATCCCAGTTAACAGTGTGTAGGGCCACATGACGTGGGAATCCAGGCTACGTCACCCTGCAGGACCCCCTCTGCTGCCCTCAAGCACTAAGGGCTGGATCCAAGGGAAAAGTAAGATGCTTTCAGTTCTGAGTCAAGATATTCAGTATCGTCAAATCATATCCCAAAGGGTCACTTTTAAGTGGAGGAGCCCCGTAAGATATGATGGTGAGTGAGCAGTGTAAGTTCCTGGCTCTCCATCAGTGACAGCACTTGACATCCCAGCAGGAAGAGGTAACGACCCCCTCCTTCTCACGGATAAAGAATTTCTAAACGAAAGCCTGACAGCCAAAATCACACACAGTTCCCCCAATTCTTCCTTCTTGCTTCTTCTCCACTCAGTAATCGCTAATTGCTGAACCCTACCCAAGGCCTGGGAGCAGCTAATGTAGGAGACCTGTTCTTAATGATGGGACTTCAGGCAAACTGGTCAGTATTTTCTGCAAAGTCTATGCCTGCCTAAAACCTAGTGTTGTGGGGAGTCAGAATTTCTTATTTCTTCTGAAGCTTGAAACATCATTTCAGCCAAAGAATGGCAACTTGGTTTTTTTGGTGTCTTTTTTTTTTTAAATAAATCTTTCCACAGTGTCTTTTATTTGTTTGACAATGAGAAGCATTTTGCTTCCACAATTCTTGAAGTAACACTTTTTAAAGTAATATTTTTCTCTACAAGTATTGCCATGTTTCTAACAGCAATCTCCAAGGGAAGAATGTATTTCATTTGACCAAAACAGAATGCTTCATGTTGACTCAGAATGGTTTCTGGGGGTTTTGCAGTCACTTTTGTTTTGCCTAAAGATAAAATATTCTGCTTTTTGTTTAATCTAAACATTCCACCACTAACTCTTTTCATTGGCCTGCCAAACTGAAAAGTCCTTTATTTTCAAAGATCCAGTTTCAAAACAAGTGACTTTATAGAAGTTACTCCTGTACCGAGAAGCAGCTTTGATGGGTTACCAGAAGGAACAGAGCAGACTGGGCAATTTCCTTGTAAAGCTTTCCAAAATACCCTGACCAAAGTGTCACTTAACTGCTAATGATCCTATTAACATAAAGAACAGATTATAAACCTCCTCGAAGTGTTTTTGACCTTAATGAAGACAAACTTCATGGGGATTATGTCAAAACATGAACTTAAAGAACCTGTGAAACTCTGCCCAGGCTTCCCAGCTAAGGTACGACTGAATGAAAATAAATAGTGAGGGGGAAAGAATTATCTTTAGCAGTAAGAAAGTGAGAAGCAAAATGAGAACATTCAGGACTTTCACAGACATGAACAGCCACGGATGACTGTCCTCAATGGCCATTTAGTGCTTATTATCTCTGTGGGCTGATGGATAGTATCTGAAGGGAGAGGTGATGTTAACTCCAAGGCTTTAGATATGATACAAATATCATGAGACAAATTGCCATCATGGTGTATAAAACAGGAACAGAAACGAAAAGCACCCAAAATCCTGTACAAAATCCTCTGCGTGTGTCTAAGGAGGACATTTTGAACACGCAGGCAGGTGACACAGTGCTGAGAAGCAAAGAGCTTTAGGAGAGAGCCTACAACACGCCGAGGTCCTGGGGTGCGATGCTGAGGGCTTTCAAATCCCTCACCTTCAGCGGCAGGAAGAGCGGGATTCACCTGGCAAGTGAGCAGGAGATAATTACAGAGCTCCACCACCTCCTGGTAGATAGTCACCTATATTACAGATAACACTAAACAAAAGAACAGATGTCACCGCGAGGTGATGCAGTCCCGTATCTGTGCTCTCAGGCTGTCACTGCGGAGGCGCGAAGAGAGAACTGCACCTTCCCCAGGCAGATGCTCTTACACTGCTGAGTTAAAAGGGACCCTCCCTAAGCTCATCTCAAGCAGCAATTAATCTCCACCTAGACAGAAGGAGAATTTAAACATGAAGGGCTTCGCTGCCCAAAGGTAAACAATGTTCTTGTAGGCACTTGACCTTTGATTTGCTTTGGTGTGTGGCCTCTTTGATTCTCCTGCCTGGCTGTGGCCCCGTGGCTGGACCGCAGGCTGCCTTCCCCTCCGCGGTCCTGCTGCCTCTGCTTCCTTCTCCTTGCTGTTTGTGTTCCCTCTGGAACCACACTGGATAAACACCAACACCCCGGCCGGGCTGCAGCTTCCTGCAAAATTCCAGTGACCGGGAGAGCCGGCCAGCCCGGCTGAGACCCAGGGGAAGGGGCCCTTCTCTCGCCTCCGAGCTGGTGCCTCAGCTGATAAGTCCCTAAAGGGCTACAGCTCTTGTCTTTCTTCGCATATAATGAGCTTTGCAGCCCATAGTAAATTATTCCTTTTAATTATCTTATGGGAATGATTAGGTGTTTCCTTATAGTTAAGATTGATAGGGCATGTTACCTTCCATCGGAGGGAACCGATGTGCAGGGGAATATCTTCTTTTCCCTATCTTTCTCTTCTCTACCCTCTTTTCATGAAGGGGCTTCTTTGCCAAGGATTTTTCCTCCAGGAGCTCATTGCTGGTAACTGCAGGGAGTTTCCAAGCCTGGTAGTGCAGGCCAGCACCTGTGTTTCCCATGCCACAGCTCTCCCTATTGCAAGAGTTGAGTGCAATTGATTTACACCATCTGGAATTCGAGATCATCCTTGAGGCTGAGGTTATCATTTTTAACGAACAGTGACCCTGTCCCTTTTGTTTCAAGAAGTTCTGTCTCCAAGACACTTTTTTACAAGGAGTTAACTGATTGCTGATTAGCTTAAGGTGGTGAAAGCGTCTGTAACGCCGGCAGTGACGCTCCCCATGTTCCAGCAGATCATTTTTCCGTGCCAGAGTCGGCCTGAACTTACGCAGGAGTTTCATGAAGGATTCAGTTTTTTGTCTGCTCAGACCATAACAAAGGTATCAGCTGGCAGTTGATTAGTTCCCCAGGCAGTATTTATTCTTTGTCATTTCGTTAAGATCCAAAGCTGAGCCCCTTTCTACTTGCTTAGCTGTTAAGTGACCAGCCCAGCTGCCTGGAAAGTGCCGGTGCTCGGAGCGTCTCCGTCCCGACGGAGAAAGGAGGAAAGGAGGCCTGGGGTAGGCAGAGAACTCTCTTTAGGCTGTGGCTATAAACCAGATAAATCTCTGAGATAACACAAATGACGGCCAACTCTTACTGCACAGGGCTCTAGGAAACCTCATTTTGTAGGAAAGAGAAGGACCCATAAAATACAAACCCTTTTTCTCTATTTTTTTGAAGCAGAGAGAGGATAATGCTCATGAGACCTGCCATCTACCAGAGATCCCCAAACAATTGCAGCTCAAGCCATCCTCTCCTTTTCTAACCCTTTATAACCCAGAAACTGCCTGTTGCTGTTGTTAATTGCACAGTGATTTTAAAACACCCTCTAGATTTTAAATACTGATGCTACAAGGGGAGATTTATATATTTCAGCTTCCAATTCTGATTGTAGCTTATGATCTGGGATAGTGTAATCCTAGCGACTGGCTGGACACACGGCAATTCAGGCACAGGCTGCCAGTAAAAAATCAATTAGGAATGAAATATAACTTCTGTTACATGTACTGTAAATTCATGCTTCCCATTTAGGTGTTCCTCAGTAGTTTAGTACCATTATGGTGAGTATCTGTACTATTTACAGGTGAAAAAATTAGATTATTTTTGGGTCTGTCGTGAATCTGTTCATTTGGTAGAGGTCAGTCTTGGAGGTAGGGAGAGATGATGGAGAAGAATGGGGTTAAATAATATTTTTTCTTTCCCCTGAACAGGAAATAGTTTTGAGAAATTGTATTCTGCTTGACTTAAGATATTTCAATCATTGCATAATTCAATATTTTCCGACATTTTAGGATTATTTAACTTTTGCTTAGCCGACTTCTTTTGATTTATGTTACTTTTTAAACAAACAGTGCTATTCCGAAATTCCCTCTAAAAATACCAACACAAATATTTTTAAATTCAGTGTTCCCATTTTTTTCAGTCCAAACAATTAGTCCAAATTTGATCCAGATTTGTGAACAGTTTGGTATCAAGAAGCTCCTGTTTTAACACTTGGTCCTTGGCAATAATCCCAAGCTGACACTGGGCATTTGCAAACAAGCAAGATGTCACTGGTTGTCTCATCACACACCACAGGGAGCCTTCTATGGGCAATTAGCCACTTGGATTATGGTGCCCCTCTGGTGGTTGACCAGTAAAGGAGGAGTTTTTAAAATCAATGTTCTTTTCCCTGCAGACTACAAAAACCCATTTGTGGAGATTCACCCGGAACATCCCGAAATAATCTACATTTTAGTTGCTAAGAAAACGGTTGTTGTCCCTTGCCGGGTCACCTCGCCAGATATCAAACCTAAGCTTACCCAGGTAAGTGACTGTTCCAGAGAAACTCAATCAACTCAGAGGTCTGGGCTGCCAACACAATGGGTAAAAGTACAAAATAAAATGGATGGAGGTAGCTCAGTTTTAGGAAAATAAAAAAAAACCAAAGACACAGACAATCCAGCAGCACAGTCCTGCTCCTGCAGTGTATCACTGCTGAACTGTGCACAAGGGTGTTTTGGGGATTAGACTGAACTTGTCACATATTTTTCTCATCTTGTGGCTTTTTGTTCCTCCATAAATCGGCCAAGATAGGTGGTAAGACACTATTTTTCTTCGAAATTCTTTATATAACACCTGCCTATTAGCTATCCTCATGAAAGCTTCTCTCTTTTATATCTTGAACCTCCTCAGAACAGTTGCCTCTTTTTTGCTTGATTTCATAAATTTAAACCAAGTTTCAGCCATGGGAATAAAAGCCTGCATCATCCATCCCTTCGGCAGCAGTTATGTCTGAATGCCAAGGTTACAGACTGGTCTGCAGAGGCCAAGCCAGTTAGCATAATAAAAATGGAAATTTAAGGTCTGGGGCTTCCTCAGTCGATGGAGATCTAGTCCCTCATTTAAAGGGCTTTAGAATTGCTCTGTAGAGAAGCCTATCACAGGGTGAGGAACAGAACATTGGTCTCCTGGCTGCAATCCTGTTGTTTACCTAATAGGTTATGTCCTTCCATCCCTGAGCTGGGCTGACTGCTCGAGATGTCCTACTGGGAACCAGAGCTCATCCTCTGCCCCCGTTCTGGAGGGGCTGGGAGAGCTGAGGTTGTTCTGCTGGACACGGTGTGACAGTGGAGCACCCACAGATGGGCTGGTGCTGAGGGGTCTGAGGACCTCGGCTCCTCTCCCCAGTTAGATGTCTTAGTTGTTAGATGTTTCTTTCTCTGGGGACACAGGACATGAAATCACGGTGGCCTGAGACGGTGCTGGGGCTCCTGCTGAGACCGACGGCAGATTTCCAGTAGATGTGCAGAGGGACAGGACCAGCCTCATCGCTTTAGGAGATCTCTATTTTTAAATTTTGTCCGGAGGGATCAAAAGGGAAGGGGAATAAGGCTCCTCTCCAGTTACAGCTTATCACTTCAGCCTGGCTAAGTGTTATCACCTTCTCCTCCTTGGCTATAAAAATGAAACATCTCCATCTTATTTTAGCCTCCTTCAACCAAATTCATTGCTGGAGGACTGCTGCTGACTTCGGCACAGTCACACGAGCCTAAAGTTGGCCTTGGAACCTCATCCAAGCAGATCTCCACCCTTATCCCCCCTTATTTATAGGCAGCCCCACTCTCCCTGCTTTGCCAGCTGAATTCTCTCCTGGTAATTTCTTCAAACAGAAGCTGAAGTCCTTTACCTTGCTGGAATGAAATCTCCACTGAAATCTCCCTTTTGAATTGCAGAGAACGTTGTTCCCCAAAAGATTTTTCCCCTTTGGGCCGAACCGCAGGGAGCAGGGATGTGGCTGTTGGGTGCCGCTCCCCAAAAAGGCACCTTCCCGATGCCGGGAGCTGGGAACTGCTCCCCGGGATGTTCTGGGAGGCGTGTGGTGGCTTCGGGAGCCACCAGCCCCATCTATGGGAAGTCACTGCTTGTTTTGCCCTGTGGGGGAATTTCCTAGCGCCGTGCGGAGCCGAGGTGGCGGCTTCCCGTGCGAGGAGGAAGCGGGGCGGGAGAGGGGTGGAGGTAAGGCCGGAGGAGGAGAGGTGAACAAGGAGATCAGACAAAATTAGAACATCCTCTCCTTCCAAATTTAATCTCCAATAGACAACGCACTTCAAAGGGAGGGAAGCCACTGTGATTTCCTTCAAGCAGCATTGACGCTTTTTGTTTGATTGTTTAAATATATATTTTTGAATATTTTATGAAGACGTTGAATATCTGTGTAGTGTTGAAAAAGGCCTCCTGAGTAGGGTTATTTTTTCTTTCCCCTTCCCCTATCCATCAGGGAGCAGAGCTGCCAAGCTATGAAGTTCAGCTTTATCACATTTTATTATTCTTGTAGAAAATGTACTTTTTTCCACTGTAAATTAAGTTCCTTATGTTACCATTATACTTTAAAATCATTGCACTCTCTGGCCTTTGAATATGTATGGGGTAAGGTGCCTCTTGCTAATACTAAACATATCCCAGCTAACTCTACGTATCATCTTCGCTATTAATAAACCCATGCTAGGACACACAATTCAAACTTTTAATTTTGCTTAACACAATTTTAATTCTGGGGGAAAAAAAAGCAGTTTCAGTCTCTTTAGATCTGTTTAGTCCCTGATCTGGTTCAGTGTCCATTTGCCACCTACAGCTTTGACCTTCAGGGGTGTTAAAGCATGATTAAGCCTCAGGTCTCAGATCTCTTTCTGTAATTTTCCTGAATTTTCCTAATGGTTCTGAGCAGAGACACCACAGTTTGATTACTTCAAAAGTATTTACATGAAATCCACGTTTCCTACCACTGTCAGAAGAGAACATGGTCCCAAAAGAAAACAACAGGCTGTGCCTGTTTCCCCACAGCAACATCACCAGTCACTGCCCCACGGCCATAATCCCTCGGTCTTTGATTTGTGCCGAATACGTAACAACAAGCGACCTAAACCAACGCCAACCCCACCAATTGTGTATTCACAAGAGGCACGAGCATCCGCTCTCAGAGCCTGGAGCTGAAATGTCTTTGGAACACAAGTATTATTTAAACGGAGCCCTATTTAAAGCCCACTGTCAGACAAGAGCACTGTTTGTTTGGAGACAGAAAAATAAATTGTGTGCCGCGTAACAACAAGAATAAGAGCAAAACTATTACATCAGGGAGGAAATGCCCACTTGCAGTCCCCAGTGCAGCTCTTCCCTCGGTTTGTGTCAAAAGCTAAACCAAGGTAGCTCTGAAAAGGACATTAATTTATCTCATCTTTGAGAAGCTGGTATGTGATAAGAAGGACAGAGAAGCGCTGTGCAAATAAAATTAATCATCCTGTTGCAACTGTAGGCACACTGAGGTTTCCCCAAACCCTTCGTTTTTCAGCCCAAACTTTTCAGCAGCGCATCCTCAGTCCCAAAGAGCCTCCCTGTGTCCTGCTGGAAAAGCCAGACCTACAGCATTCACCTCCCATTCACTCCCCTGCAAACAGGTGGGAACGGCTGACGCTCACTCATCTGCTCCTTTACAGACCCCTGAGCTATTTCTCTGTATTTAATTTCACATATTTCTTTTCCACATCACGATCCAGGATTTTCAAAAGGATTGGAAAGTAACTTGCATTTTCTCTGGCAAGTAGAGGATTTCCCTGTGTGTTAATAATAATAATAATAAACAACTAATTATTCCCACCAACAAAAGCTAAACCTGCTTGACATTGGTGCTGTCCAAGGGTATACAGAGGGTTCATTCTTATTAAATTCATTTTTGCTCTTGTTTATTTTCGATGTTTGCCTTTCCTATCCTCACTTCTTCCTCAGATACTGTTTTTTTTTAAGAATCTCAGAATATTACAAATATTTATGAACTTAGGACCAAAAATTTATCAGCTACTAAGTCCCCTTATTTCTGCCATCCTATGATTTACCGTCTTAAAGACACCCACGCTGCTCAGTCCCTAGTGGAAAACAATAGGCTGCTTTGAAAGTGTCCCATCCCTTTCTGTGACACAGAGAGAACTGGGTGACTAGTCACAGACCAGAGTGTCTAGGTGACTGCCATCAGGTGAGATGGTGACATGAATAATTCTGATTTTTGGGGGTCTAACTTCACATGTATTTTTTAAGTGCTGTGAGAATCCCAGAGAAACACGCGGTAGCTACATGTTGCTTCAGAAGAAGCAGAGTTTGTTCTTAAACACTTCAAAAAAGATTACCCTACAAAATTCATGTAAGATAGGCAGAATTATTTCCAGTAAAGAGATGAGAGAAATGGGACCTACAATGGGTAGCATGGTATCTTGCCTAAGATCTGAGAGACTGAATCAAAAGCCCCAGTTATGATGTCCATGTTTTGGATTTCAAAGAGAGTCATACCTTAGGGAGGGCTTGTCTATTTGCTTAGGCTGATGTTGCTTAAGACATGTGTGGAATGAGACCACCAGCCTCTCTGAAAGGCCAAATACCTGCCCTGCCTCTGGCAGAACAGCCTTGGCCGGTCGCCTTTGTGGTCTGGGGGGGGAAAAGGGAATGTCTCACAAGCCTCCAATCTGTCTCTTCTTTTTCAGTACCCTCATTCTGTAGAGATGAACTTCAAGAGGATGACGTGGGACCCAAGAAGAGGATTTGTCATCCCCTCTCATTCCTTCGTTTACTCCGGAGTGCTCACGTGCACCGTAAACGTCAATGGAAGCGTGTTCACCTCCTACTACCTGGCACAGAGACTGGGTGAGTGACCACTGTGTGCCCAGGAATGACCAACCCCTAGCTATTAGTTCTTGCTTAGCCTCAATTATATTTGATCTATCTAATTGCTCTGTATCCATGGCAAGTCCAAGCTGGAACGCTAAAACACAAACCCGTTCTTCTCCTTTTTTTTCCCTGCTCAATAGAACTTGGATTTGCTCCATTCCTGGTTTTGAAAATTTACCAAGTGTTGAGGTGATACAAAATAGGAGTATTATTTTATTCAAACCCCACCAAAGCTTTGTTTGCTTGGATTGAGCTGTATTTACATTAAAACAACCACTGGTTTGGGATAAACCAAACAGTAGCTTTCTTTTTGCTTCTGGTCATTAAATACACAAGATCAGGGTATAAAAATCTAATTAAACAGCTAATTCAAATCTTTGCTTTTTAATATAGTTTTTCCTGGTGATTTACCATACCCTATCCCTTGTATTTACAGCTGAGCTTCAGTCCAGAATTAAAATCTGAATTTGAAGCAACTAAACATTAAATTTTTGAGTGCTGGGGATTTATGTAAAGCCAATTAGAGTTCATTTTTCCTTTGTTTTCAATGTATGTTCTTTTTTTCCTCATATATCATATTTTTGACAGAGGAAAATTTACTGTGACTTCATTCCCATTAGATCATAGCATCCTTCTATACAATTAGCGCTCAGCTTTAAACAACAGGCTTGTAAATTTGTCCGGCAGCCAAGAAACCAAGTAAATCTCCCTCTCTTTTTCTTCATTGTTGGAGTAATTATTTTTTACTAGAATTATGAATGCAAGGCTAAAAAACCCATGAGGTCATCCCTCTCCACCCCAAAAGGACACAGTCAGCACCTGACTCTAGAGTGTGTTACTGTACAGTGGTCAGACGTGTGTTGGGCCCCAGGCACCATAAATATGATTCGGAACTGATGTATTTCAGGCATCAATAAATATGTGAGACCAAGATTTGGGGATCCCCAAATTCAGAAAGGAAAGGAAAGGAAAGGTAAGTGGTCATCAGAGGGCAGGAGAAACCTGTTTCATGTTCTACAGAAATTAATCCTCTGGCAGATGTGCAGATTTTGAGGAACTCTAAAGATCAGTCACTTTTGAAAACTTAGTTTCTGAGAATGCCCATGGAGCTGATGAGTGAGGGTTGGAGCCAAACATGGCAAATGCAAGAAAAGTAATTCATAAATTACATTGTCCAGGCGTGATCAGTTAGTTTGACCAGCTGATGTTCAGGCCTTTATACAACTGACCTAACGTTCCTGTTGTGGGGGCATTTCCAACAATTTCCATCGAAATGACAGCAGAAGGTGAGGTGTTTGGAAGCTGCGAAAGGAGCTGTGAAAGGAGATGTTGGAGAGGCAAATGGAGTATGGTTTCCATCCTAAACGTCACTGAGGTAGAGAGTGCTGCAGGGTGATACCTTTGCTTTTTTTCATTTCAGAGGACAGAGTACAGAACCTGGCTCTGAAAGCAACTCCCAAAAAACTGCTGGTCGGAGAAACTCTCAATTTGGAATGCAGAGCAGAAACCTTCATCAACGGGCGCATTGAGCTCATCTGGACGTGTCCTAATGGGAGAGTGAGTTGAAGAAAATTCTGTATTCTGCTTTCATGCAGTGTCCCCTTACCCAAGGGAAAGATCTGTTCCTGGGGCTGAGTAAATCCTAACTACGACTTATTCTGAAATACAGCCAACCATTGGTCAGCCTACAATTGATTGTATTTGCAGTTTGGATGAACCTAAAACTTATCTGACCACCCTGAACCTGCAAATTAAACTGCAAATCTCAGGCTAAATACAAAAATAAAGAAAGACCAGGAGCGGATGGTTCTTGTTGGAAGAACAGTCTTATTTCTTCTGGCCTGTTTGTTGGTCCCGGCTCACAGTGGGAAGTCTCAAAGGCAGCCACGAAGGTTGTTAGTTGTTAGTCTGCTCATCCATCTCGGCGTTTATTAAGAAGGAAAAAGTGAAAGAGAAGCCAATTGTATCTGCTGAAATCTCCACCAAATAATGAAATTTAAATTCTGAGTGTAGGTTCTTGGGTTTTCTGTGGGATGACATACAAAAAAGCCAAATTTGACATAGAAACATGTAAGAGACTGAGCATTTGCTTTGATGTACTAAAACCTTTCAGTTCTCCTGAGGAAAAACAGAGGGAAGAAGGGGTATTTTCCAACTCAGTTCATTTATCTGAGATACTGCTCATGGTTCTATTTGATGCTTAGAATTAAAATGATTGCTTTTCTTTCTTTTTAGTTCAGCAAAATATACATTTCAAAGAACCATCTCAGCCCCCTGAAAAAGCGTAAAATGTGACTCCTAAATATTTTTGACTTATTTTGTTCACTGAGAGAAAGAATGTCAGATTTTGTCTTGGTGAAGAAACTACAGAAAATATAACAGAGAATTTATGGAAGTGCAAGTAATATGATGTTACTGAATTTTGTTTCTTGAGCCCCATATGATGGAAAAGAGTTGTTTTTCTACAAACCCTCCTTAGATTTCTAACATTACAAATGTAAAATTTCTTGGCCAAATCTCTAGGATCAAAAATCCCATCAGAAGCAGTAATGCTTTCTAAAATTCTACAGGAATTTGCATTGGCACTTGGTTGTCATAATATATTATATTTCTGTCATAATATATTTCTTTTAGAAATATTCTTTTTAAGACAGAAGAATTCTGACTGTGACCAACAAAAACCCACACAACAAAAGCCCAAAGCACAACATCCCTAGGGATGCCCCTGGCAGTTCCACACTGCGATCCCTGGGATTCGGTCCCGGAAAGGGGCTGATGAGATCCGTCCCCTCATTCACCCGCCTGCCCAGGCTGCAGCAGGACACACCACAGCTCCACTCTGTTTCTCTCTCTTACTACACTTCATAATGAAACCTCACATAAGAGCTTTTCCTGCTGATTTGTCTTTTATATTATTTATTTCAGTGATGGGGAGATATGATAATTTTTATATGAATCACCGCTTTTCTTTACTGGCAGACTTTGAAAGGATGAACAAAATAATCTGGTTTATGCTGCTTTTTGACCCCTTTTTTTTTCCCTGACTTCCAGCACCCTTATCCTAGAAGAACAATAGACCAGAGTGGCACGGTGTACAAAGTGGACAGCAGCCTGACAATTGAAAATGTCACCATGCAAGACGGAGGCTTGTACATATGTAAAACATTCAACGTGACACAGCTGGAGGCCAACGTCACAGTCACTGTGTACGGTGAGTCCTGCAGCTAAACCAGAACACCCAGGAACCAAGATCGTTAAACTTAAAGGATAATGCCAGATTATTAAATCTGTTGATATGCAGATGACATTAGGACGAATGCCAACTAGTGAAAACAACCGTTAATCATCTCTAATGTCTAATCAAGTCAGCAGCCAGCACTATGTTTTCAAAGAAACATTAGAGAGCAGAAGAGTGAGACCTGTCTGAGGACGGGGATTAACTGGGAGCTGAACTGTTTGGAAAAAGCTGGCACCGAGTGTGGTTGCTGATGCCCTGGAAAACCTGGCCCACTGGCATCCACACAGACAAGAGATACCCCAGGCATTTTTACACCCTGCTACGGGGGTAACACGGAAGGATATTCTCTGCTTTAAATATACATTCCTTCATTTGAGAGAGACTGAGCTTTCCAGGGGAGCTGTGGTAACAGCTCGTCATTCCATTGGGTTGCCTGCAGCTTCTGCAGATCTGCATTGCAAAGAATTTGGGGTAGACACAAAGCAATTCAAAGATGTGAGCGTTGTACTGGGGCAGATCTGCCATTACTCCTTCTGTTGGTTTCTCTTTCCAGACAAACCTTTCATTACGGTTTCCCATAAGAAAGGGCCTTACTACGAGATCACATCAGGACACAAGTCACTGAAACTCGCTGCAAAGGTGGATGCCTTCCCTCGTCCAACTGTCACCTGGTAAGTAGCATCATCTCAAGCAAAATCAGGAATAGGTGACCTTCTTTTGGGGTCCTGTCTAGAATAGATTTTCCCTGTTCCTTACCACACCAGCAAAAGATGAGCACTGGGAATGCTCATGGCACAGTTCAGCTCAGGAGATGTGACTCCTTTTGGTGCTGACATACACTCTCTGAAGCTGGGCGAGACATACCTCTCTCCTAATCATGCAGAAAAGGTCCCTATAGGAAAAAAATGGGCATTTCATTTACTCTGGACACAGAATTGTTTGAAGATTGAAGCAGAAAGCTATTGTGGAAGGGCTGCCAGTTCACCACCATTAGGGGTGGTCAGTCTGCAAGGAGGCAGAAAGCTGCAGGACACATTCTCAACATGAGAAATTGTTTCTCTTTATTCTAAGCAATTTTCTCCAATCCTGTACCACCAACAATGATAGATCCTTGCAGACAATGCAGTGAATCCTCCCGAGCAAACTAAAGGCTTCACCAGGACTGTAATGGACCAGCTTTATAGGAGGGGCAACATGTCAGCAGCTCCAGAAGACGTTCATTTCTCTCTTTACCCTTTCATCGCTTGTCCTCTCTTCCTACTTTTTCTATGCTTCATTCTACAGAGGATCTTTAACAACCCCATCCAACACCTTATACGTCTTTAATTGTATGAAATCCTGTAGGACAACCGGCGTGGTTTTGCCTGGCCTGGCAGAGGAGGTGGCCTGGGGGAGCCACCACCTGCCCCGTGCCCTTTTGCTTGGTCATTTGGGTGACAACGGGGGGGCTGGGAGTCAGAAAAAGGTATTGGTCAAGGATGGGCTTGCTGCATATTTTTTAGCAGTCAAATAACACAAAATTCTCTAATATTCCATCAAATCAGTGGTATCATGGCTGCCAGGATTAATTGTTGCTGTTATTTAGGAGATGGGAATGTTTTTTTGAGAACTGAAGCAGGGACCATCCCCTTTTTCTCTGCCAAGGCTTTGTTCCTGGGGCCCAGCGTGGAGCTGCTCGGGAGCTGCTGGGACCACCAGAGCTGCCTCCCCTGCCTGGCTGAACCTACAGCTGTTGATGTTGGAGGTCTCTCAGGCCAGTTGTTTAAACGACTGTAAAGGAGGTTTCCAGCATTCTCAGGCAGGAGCTCACATGCCCCAGCCTCTCCTTCCACCGAGCCCAAAGCTCTGTGTGTGGCAAAGTCTAGCCACATCTGCATATGGGATTAGTAGTGAAGAGGAGCATGCTCATGCAGACTCTGCTGTCCTTCCCTTAGCTAGTAGAGATTCAAGATTGTGGATTCCTCACTGACCTTCCTATTGACTGTAAGTTCTCCAGGTCACAGACTTCAGCTTTTTCAGAAACAGTAAAGGGTAATATATACCTAGTGTGAGACAATTCTGCTTAATTCATATCTTGTTTTATAGAATCAGAGAATCATAGAATTGTCTGGGCTGGAAGGGACCTTTAAGATCATCTAGTCCAACCATCAACCTAACTCTGATAAAACCCATCACTAAACCATGTCCCTAAGCACTACATCAACCCGTCTTTTAAATACCTCCAGGGATAGTGCCTCAACCACTTCCCTGGGCAGCCCATTCCAAGGCTTAATAACCCTTTCAGTGTAAAAAATTTTTCCTAATCTCCAGTCTGAATGTCTCCTGGCACAACTTGAGGCCATTTCCATCAGTTTTAAAACTGATGACATAAATTTTAGCTAACCTGCACTTAGTATTGCACATCCAACATAATTTAGGGGCATCTAGATGTACATTTCTGATCATAGCTGAGCATGCGAGAAGCACTGCTCATTCACATCCATTAAAATATCTTTTTCCTGCTTCTTAGATGAAGCCACTCCATAAAACTGCTTCTCAGTTTTAGCGTAGAAGGATAAAAGGAATAGATATCCACTTCAAGCAGTGACTATAGATGAGTTTCCCTTGCTGTTTCTAAAGGATGACTCTTTCCCCGCACCCCTTCCCCCCAACTAATTTGGGGAACCATAGGATTTCTGAGGGCTAACATGCCTGCATGCACATGATAATAAGCCTTGATGGGACTTTCAAAACAGGTACAAAGATGGCAAACTCATCAAGGACAACCACACTTGCTATGAGCCGGACCCAATCAAGTACAGACTGGGCATAAGGGACGTGAGACCGAAGCACGCTGGAAACTACACCATTGTCTTGAGCAACGCAAAATACGGCCTGTATAAGAACCTCACCATGCAGCTGGTAGTGACAGGTAAGACTTGAGGTTTAGAATGAATTCTACTGGGTTCTTTCTTGGTTTTTGTGTGATCCTACTTTGCCAGTCAGCAGGACGGGTGACATTTCCCCCTATTTAGCTGATATGAGCTGATACAGCACCGTGTACAGATCACCACCTTATTTAGGAACCACCAAATATCCACTCATTTCACCACAAGTTTAATAGAAGCAACAGACCAAAGAGGTAGTATGAAGAGTTAGTCTGAAACTAGGTCATCTAAAGTCACTTTCCACGGAGATACCGCACCTTAGAAATTGCCTGCAGCATCTTTGTGTCAGGACAGTGTCTCCACAGAGGGAAGCAGAAATGGGTTGAAAGTGAAGAAACTTAACAGGACTTAAACTTTAATATGAGTTTGGGAGGACATTTAGTCTTGGAGGTCTTGGAGCTGAGGGCACAGTTTCCCAAGAGAAATTATGGAAGTTTTATCCCTTGAGACTAAAAACAAGCTTGGGCAAAGCACTGGAGAACATCCTGTTGGGAGAGGAAAAGTCCCAGTAGGGCTGACGGAAGGAACTAGATAAGTTACCCTGTCTTTTATGTCTCTCCATCATCCTGCTACAGAAATACTTTCTAAGTCTGTATTTTATGTGTTGTCATTTATCTGCTGGGAGCACTTGAGAGACAGGTTCATTTTCAGGGGAATCTGGAAAAAACTGAAGTAAACTGTGGTGTGCACTGAAGCAGGTTCACTTGGCATAGAGGGAAAATAGATATTGGAATCCCATTTATTAATCTCCTTTGCTGGGACAATGGAAGACAGAGCCACATTGTCTCTGCAAATCCACTGCCTCTTTTAATCCATGGAATTTGGCAACAGAGATTGAATCATGAGGCCAAGTAGGAGTTCAGAAAAAGTTAGCTCTGCTTCCCTTTGGATTTCCCGAGGTTCGGGCAGGGAGAGAGAAGAAGTTATTGAGATAGTTTTGCTTTCTTTTCTGTGGTGAATTCTTTTCTCTTTATCCTCTTCACACCTCAAAATATTCTCAATTATCCTGTTTTGCATATTTACGTAGCATTTGTGTTTTCTCATTTCACCTCTCAGAAAAGAATAATGCCTAACAAACAGAGATCTTGCCACTTAGGCACATTTGGCCTATTAAAAATGCTAAATAAGATATTGTAGCTTAAACCACCTTAAACGTATGTAAATTAATGTGTGATTTAGAGTGGAGGGAAATAAGAACATGCGTATGGTCAGGTACTACAGCTCAGCTGATGAGGAGGAACGTGTTAAGCTGCAGCAATTTGTTCACGTGAGATTGTTTCTCCATACAATGGTTTTGCCCTCTTGTTAAGAGAACGGAAACATTCAAAGGAAGAGAAAATTAAGAATGATAATAAACTATCTTGTCAAGGTAAATATTGGTGTTTGCATGCAAAAGAGAATGTTTACTTGAAGAGAAGCCATTCCCCAAATAGGCATATAAAAAACAAACAGACCTTGTTTCTATCAGCTAGATGCTATTTCAGGATTAAACCGTCCCATGCTCTTAACTACAGCACCAGCCTTTCATCTTTATTGTATGTACAGTGTGTGGTATTGTGTGTCTCACACAGTGCACGCCTCGCACGCTGCTCATCGTTAGCCTTTCTGAGAGATCAGCCCAACAGAGAAATCAGGCAGGAATAACTATTCCATTGCAAAACCACCATTTCTCCCGAGTTTGCAAAGTAACTCCAGTTACTGCCCAGAGAAGGTGTTGCATGGGGAAGCACGGGAAAAAAGAGCAGCAAGAGTTGCTTTTCTGGTAAAAGAATGTTATCCCAGAAATGAGAGCAAGCAAAGGGAAATATCTGCCAAGGAATGCCAGTGTTTTTAAGCTAAAAGCTGAAAACAATGAAGATATTTGCCTTGATTGTAGGCAGGACTGACACAGAACACCTAGGAAATCTTGCCTTTGCCGGGCTTTTCTCTGCAGCACCACCATTATAAGCTGGGGCTGAAGCACTCGGCCCAAGGAGAAGGACATTTTGATGAGCTGCATGAGGGTAGAGACCAAAAAAGGCAAATTTTTCTGTAGAAGCTTATCCAACAACAGCAAACTGCCTTTTTTTCCTGTGCATTCAGTTAGAGCAGAAGGACTGCTGCTTTTTCAGATCTGGGCACCACTTTCTTTACTTTCAAAAAAAATTCTGAAGTTCTAAACTGAACACAGATTTGAACTTTTCCCTTAAGTCCTCAACAAATAACCTGACACTTTATCTCCAATCATCACAACTGATACCCTGGTACCGCACCTGAGTAGACTGAATCGCTTGGAGTTTCAGCAGACATTTAGACACAAAGAAGGAGACCAAAACACACTTTCCAGCCATTTTATGCAGGGATACACAACCATGTACCAGCTCCCTATTACTGAGGAGTAATATTTATTTTTAAGTAACAGCATTGCTCCCCAAAAGCCATGGCCAGTCTTTTAAATTCCCGAGCTGCATCTGTGAAAGTGAGCGAGTTCGGTTCTGTGCTATTAAAGAGAGGACAGAAAATTATTTGAATAGACTTTAAATGAGAAGATAAATGTTATTTGAATACGTTTTCTTTTCCTGCAAGGGGACACTGCATTGAAGAAATTCTAAGCATACAGCCCCCCCTCCTGTGAGTCTCCTCACAATAATAACATCGTTAGTGTTCCTGGGCATCACAGATCTCGTAACTGGCACTCAGCGTGCTGTGACAAACCCATCAGCCGTGAATTTGAACTAGGGGTAGGGGAAGTTTGAAGTTAATCATGTTGTGAATTGTTGTGCACGAATGAAGTATAAATAGCAGCAAGACTCATTCGTCAAATTGCACTATAATAATTTTTTGCAGTGTATTTTATTCAATGATAATGGCAGCAGAAAAGCAGGATGAGGACGAGATAAGAAGTCACCTGCTTGAGCCCTGCAGGACAGGAGCTTATACGCAGTGTGTCTCCTGACCTGCCCAAAGACCAGCCTTGCTCAGGCTTTCCTTGGAGTCACCTCCTGGAGACTTAATTAGTAGCAAATCACAGCAGTTCTGACATAAAGCGTACACTGTGCGTGCAAGGTATTCTGCTCCATTGGAAAATATTAGGAGTTATTTCCCCTCCAAGTTTGATACGACCATAAAACCGATGAGTATGAACTGATTCTATGAGTACCTGCAGAGTGCAGGGGTATCAATCGTCTCGGCTCCACCGAGGCAAAAAGGAGCAAAACGGGCAAATTACTCCCAGAGCTGTGGGGTGGGAAGTGCCAGCAAGTGACCGGCCCCAGGGGAGGACCTGGGTGACAACATGCAGGAAGAAGCACACTGCCTGGGCTGGAGGAGAGTCCTGCTGCTATTCAAAAAATGCCCCTTTAAGAGGTGGCTTAGCTGTGCCTCTGGTCACCCCTGCTCCCACTGCAGCTGGAATTTAATCTTGCAGGAGCACATATCTCCCTTGTGGAGTCACCTTGGCTCATTCTAGGACTCCAGTCCCCGGGAGGTAGCTGATTGCATTTTCAAAACACTCCTTTTTTACATATTTACACATCAAACACTGTCCAACAAGCGGCGGGTTGCTGAGTTTTTGTTTTGTTTGATTAAATTCTTATTGAGAAAAGCTTCAAGAAAATAATGTCCTGAAGAATTTGGAAGGGAGGGAGCAAGGAGAAGGAACAATCCTAGCAAACAGCTGGTGGCTGCACATCTGAGCCAGCCAAGAAGGAGAAACGTGGGAGAAAAGAGTTATTCCGGGCTCAAGTACAAAGCTCTTTCAGAACAAAACATAAACAAAACCCCTCATATCTATTTATGGGCAAGGAAGCAGCATTTCATTCTCACCCTTGCACAAGTCATCTGCATGTATCAGGGCTCTTGCTGAGCCCTTTATGGAGCAGTCAGCATGCTCTGACCACCTCGTGGTGAGTGAAGATTGCATTGAAGCATAAGTTAATTCAAAAAATGGGATGAATAATCTCCTTCACCACTTTGCCTTTCTTCTTTGTCCCAAAGTTTCTCTCCTGCGCTCCCTCAAGGCTCTTCCAGCAAATATTGCTTTGGGTTCCAGCTGCTCTAGTCAATTGAAATTACATTCTCTCATAGTGTCCTTGATCCCCCAAGCTCTCGTGTTGTATCTATAAGAAATGCAGGATTAAGTGCTAGAAATAGCCTCTCCCATAACCAGTGGTAATTCACAGGCTCCTTATGAATTCCCTCTCTCCTGGGCAAGGACTGGATTAAAAGGGGTGTGTGGAGAACTCATGTGTGCATTGCCATGTGCTCCTTGTTATGTCAGCAAGGTGACCAGCTCTACCTCCATTTGTTACTGGGGGGAATTAGTTCCAGAGCACTTAATGATGCAGATGCTGCCCTACTCTGTAGTCAGGCCAGCTCTTCATATTTGGTTTAAAATCAAAGGCAAAGGAAGTTCTGTGCCTGACCTACTTTGGCTTGCAAGGGATGAGTTGACATCAAAGGAGTCCCCAGTGATCTCCATAAAAGTTAATAAATACACAATGATCCATGTGAACAATACCCCGTCACCTTAACCAGACCCAGAAATAGTCTGAAGAGGGAAATGAGCCTTCAGGATGAGGTTAATACATTTGGGTTATGCCAGTTCAGAGAAAAAGAGCTCTTAGAGCGATGGATCCCAGTTAAAGCCAGTTGAAGGCAGAGGGGAGACTCCCACAGTCTCTTGTCCGTGGAAGGGCCACTGAAATCTCTATGTTGGACACTGTTGCACTGTGAGAAATAGGAATTTCTCAGGATTCTTTTTAGTGCTATTTGCACTATTATTATTAGTACAAAACCCAACTGATGTTCACGCTAAAGGACTGAGCCAGACACGAGAAGCAGGACTACATAAATTGATCTACCTTCCCCTTGCCTGTGTGCTTCGGTGTCCTGACAGGACTGCTTTTCCTTTGTGTATCTTACCCATCTCCCACGTAGCTCCTTGGAGGATGACCAATTCAGAAAAGTCCAAATAGAAAATCTAATTTTCCACCTCCCGGGCCAG